CTCCGATCCGCCAGCGCTGACTGGCGGATCGGGAGGGGGCGGGTACAGCTGGCTCTGCCTCTAGATAGGCAGAGCCAGCTGTCACTCACGCAGCTGGGCGGATCTCGACATCGATGTCGGGATCCGCTCCGGCTGAGGCATTTCAGTATACCGCGAGCTGTAGCTCGTGGTATACTGAGCTTAGGGTAATGGGAGGACACTAGTTTGTGTCCTTCCGTTGCCCTAAGGAGAACTATGGGGAAAGGCCCTAACCCCATAGTTCTCCTTTTAAAATATATAACTATAAGTAATTATCAGTTTCCAAAGATTGTCATTTGTAATGATTAACTTGTGAGTGAAGGTCATACATTGTAGAGATTGATCACATATTTATTATAGATTGCTGTGTACAGAAAGAAGCTAATATTGGCTTTGTTTCAAGGTGGCCCACGCAGGGTTACCAAGTGCAAATTCTATATAGCTCGGTTCCGCATGGAGAGCTTACATTACCCGGCTGTTTCTTTTTTTAGATGTGGCAATGTAAACTTTGCCAGAAGGACAAGCTGTAACCGATGTGGACGAGGTGAGGTTTTGAAATACACGTTTGCCGTAGATTCCGAATGTTTTCTGACCGTGAATGTTAAAATAATTTTAATTTTCTACATAGAAAAATCAACTGATGCGAAAATGATGAAAGCTGGAGGGACAGAGATTGGAAAAACTCTGGCGGAAAAGAGCCGAGGGTTGTTCAGTGCGAATGACTGGCAATGCAAAACGTAAGATGTTCCTGAATTAGTGAATTGTGTGGTCTTTGTAGGAACAAAAATGTTTATCATACATCGCGGCATGCATTTGTATTTCTTTTCCGTGCATTCATTGGTAGCAGCCTGTCTGTCAGAGCGAAGGTAAACTAAGAAGGAAGTTCCCCGGGGACGCTATGTCTCTGTGCCAAAAGCAGTCAGGATTTGTTTTTAATCTGTGGTGTCCATACGCATCTGTTTTTGCAAGCAAGGTGCTCAATTCATGGGGATCAAGCTGTGCTGGGGTTTTCTTTGAGGCAACAGAGAACACTTCTAGCTGTTACAGGCAGACCTTATTGTACACAGAGCATGTTGAAAAAACCTATGTGATCAGGTTCTGATATTTCCCTTTTCTATGGGGAAAAGGGAGACAATATTTTACTGTGTGCAGCGTATCAATCAATCAGTCCTTTAGCCTAGTGCAGGGATGGACAAACTCCGGCCCTCTAGCTGTGGTGAAACTACAAATCCCATGAAGCATCTCTCTCCGGGAGTCGTGGCTGTGAGAATCTTGTAAAGCCTCATGGGATTCGTAGTTCCATCACAGCTGGAGGGCCGCAGTTTGGCCATCCCTGGCCTAGTGGGACTTGTGCAGAAGGTATTGGTAGCAAGGCTATAAGGGATGAGTAGATGCCTTTTTTTTTGGTGGTTCTTTGTGAGAATTCTGCTTGTCTGTGGACATAATTAGTGGACCTTTATGTTTGGAAATTCAATGTGTGGAACTTTCTCTTTATATCAGTCACTGCTACTGAAAAGCTTACAGCTAACTCCAGAAAAAAAAAAATGCAGTAACGCAGGTACAGGCAGGAATTTAAAGCCTCACCCCGGGCACCAAGAAAAAAAATGCCCTTGTTTTGGGGCCTCCCCCTTGGAAGGGTTACATGTTTGTCAAGTCTAGGGGGTAGAGGCATAAGCTGTAATACTTACCTCATACCTCGCTTCACAGGCTTCTTGTACTCCCTCTTCTTTGGGGGCCCAGTCACATCATATCCAGTGCGTTCTGGGGCAGGAGGGGACCTGCTGTATGCACTATTTTTTTCAGATTGCACTGCCATACAGCGAAGGGCATTCCTGTACCTTGCGTTCCGGTGCGTGTCTGCGCTTCCATTGCCATGAATGGCACCGACCCGCCCCTCCCGCCCCAGAGTGTGGCCCAGCTTAATTTATGTGATCCAGTGCGCTCTGGGCACAAACTGCACTGGGGCACACTGGTTATGGTGTGACTGGGCCCTCAAACACTCTGGGTTGTGAGCAGGCTCTCGTCTTCCTCATGCACAATGCAGGACTGTTGGACCTGCATTATATGTGATGGCATCAGAGTGTGACTGCCGGCTTTAGCACCCTAAAGAAGAGTCCGGGGGACAGAGTTGAAGTAGCCTGCCCGAGCGAGGAATAAGGTAATCATTACACCTATTCCTCTACCCCTAGACTACACGTACATTTAAACATTGCAGTGCATGGAAGCCCCACCAAGATTTCTTTCTTTCTTCTTTTTTTTTTTGCCCGACAGGGAGCTTTAAACTCCTGCAACGCTCGTATAGATGCGCACACATGCTAGAAGAAATATACCACAGAAATCAATTATCTTTTCTTTATGATTTTTAATTGTAAAAGGAAAGGCATACAAACTCCAAGCTGAGATTATTGTGGTGGATATTAAATCTAGGAACAGAGCAGAGACACAATGCTAACTAGCTTAGCCATTTTATTGCCTGTCTCCTCTTGTTTATACAGCCATACTCATGGTGTCGTCATGTTTGTATTGCATTGATTTAATGATCATACCTCTTATGTATAAGATGCTGTTTATAGCTTTGACTAATTGTTCCCTTGCCATATGTCTGTCTTTTGTAGTCCAAAACATTGGCCACACTGTGGAGGGGAACATTGGCCACACTGGAGGGGTTTGCCTTCCTTTAGATCAGAGCTACTGTTGCTTTTTTTTTTAAGCTTAGCTAAGTGTGTAACTGTTTCATAGGTGTGCACATTACTAAAGTTCTTGTTTCTATTTTAGTTGTGGGAATGTCAATTGGGCCAGAAGATCAGAGTGCAACATGTGTAATACACCAAAGTATGCCAAACTGGAGGAACGAACAGGTACAACTTCACTGTAGCCGAATGTCATTCTCTGTCTTGTAATTGTGGTACACGTTGATGTGTGTTTTGTGGATCAGAAACTTTTTTTGGTGGTATCTTACCCTACTTATTGTACTCTTCCCTGGGATCTCAAACGTCAGTTTGCAATTCCTTTGGCGCTCAAAAATGAATTTTGTGGCGTGCTACTGTATAAATCTAACAATTCATGGAACCATAAATATTCATGGAGTCTGTGTTGGCAATGTGCAGATTTAGCATCCATCTCCGACAGCAGCAGTACCTTTTTAGATTGATGTTTTTTTCTAATACGAATGCTCACTTATTCCATAGAATGGAGCTGCAGTCCGTCGCCTCCCTCACAGCATGGGATTCTTACACCTGATATCTGCATTGCATCCCTTGTATTTCTTGTCACTGGGAGATTTTCCCTAGTCTTCTGTTCCGGTGACAGCTGTAAAATATTGGATTTCATCACTTTGTTCCAGTGACAATGTTTACGTGGATAAATAGACTGTGTGAATTCCTCATCAGAGATCGCAATAAAAATGGGGGAAAAAAGGGTTTTGCTAGAAATCAGTTTGGCTATTGAACTATTAAATATTCCATTGGAAGTGTTTTATTATATTTGATTAGTACAAAATGTGTATACTGCCAGAAATCCAGTGCTGTCCTATACACTTTGCAGCGTTATCAGCCCCGCTTAGTTCATCTGTGGACTACAGAGCACCTCTGCTATATGTGATAAAGGTGAAGTGGGGGAAGAGATCTGTAGTTCAAGTAAAGATAGTAGTCACCAGCACTCCTAATGTGCAAAAAGGATAGCACTTTTTTTGATATGTCACATGCGTCAAGAAGCCAACGTTTCCGGGCCCTTCATCAGGGCGACATCGTGACCTATAGTTCAGACACACTTCCTCTTCTAGGGTGGCAACATTGTGCCCCAATTGATATTGTACAGTGAGTGTCACCCTAGAACAGGACAGGTGTTATTTGAAGGAATATTAGGTTCAAATATATGGGATATTTACATTTTAATTTTTTTCTTGGTTTTAATGTCCTTTTTTCAATGTCTAGTTTATATACAGGTTTTCAGGCTTCCCATTCCTTTATTTCATTCTAATACTTCACATATAATATTACTATGCAGGTTATGGAGGCGGCTTTAATGAACGTGAGAATGTAGAATACATCGAGCGAGAAGAATCTGACGGAGAATATGATGAGGTAAAATTTGATGGGATTATGTATTTGTATAGTGTTGCAGGCTACGTCTATGACTTCTCCCCGTAGTACTTACCTTCTCTGGATATCTCTTGGTGGAGCATCAAAAGACTAAGAATTACTCTCATAAAATGGTCCTTTGTTTGGCTCTTGTTCTCTGAGCTTAAGTTGGCCATACATCTATTAATTACTTGCAGATTTTCTATGGTCAGTTCGAAGAATTGCAACGGGTTCCTCCATCTAATCAAAACTGTCGATGGAGGAATCTCCCGCTGGGCCAAGTTTCAGTATCTTGCTAGTCTCTCAGAATACCTTAACAAGGCCAGCATCCAATCAGATTGTTCAGATATTTTGAGAACCAGTGGGGCCGACTAGCTAGATACTGAAGCTTGGCCCAGTGGGAGATTCCTCCATCCACACAGTGTAGTGTAGATGGAGGAATCTGTTGTAATTTTTCCATCTGACCATAGAAAATCTGAATGTAATCAATAGGTGTGTGGCCAACTTTCGAATGTTCAAAAGCCGGCAATGTCATGAACCATTACAAGCTCTTTTTCAATGCTTTCTGTGTCGCAAGTGGAAAAAGTGTTCTCTCACTTCCTGTCTGTTTGACAAGTATCAGAGAGAACAGGAAATCGGATGAAATCTTTCCCAACATGGACTCACATTGTCGGAAAAAGAAACCCAACAGAGGTTTTAAACTTTCCCCACTCTATCCCAAAAAAGGTTGACTGGAATCTGACTTTAAAATTGACTGTTTAACCTAAAGCAGTAGCTGTCCACTATTATATTAGTATCAGCAGGGCTTGAAAAATTTGGCGGTGTCTCACCAGTCAGTCAAAAATTTCACCAGTCAGCATGATCTGACTATAGCCTTGCAATATATGTTAAAATTTTTTGGGGACAGATAGAGCTTTGTTTTGTGACCCCACGTGGGGTTATTTTTTTAAACTATATAATGAAAAAAGTACCATAAATGTAAAAAAAAAAAAAAAAGTTTCCCTATGTTATAAAACATTTATTCTTACCCATATTTTTAGTACAACATAAAAATCGGGGTCACATCGGGTAAATAGACACCAAACATGTCAAGCCTTAAAATTGCGTGCGCCCGCAAAATCGCAAAAAACGCCCATACGCGACAATTAAAATGCTTTTACTGCTCATCAGTTTAGTGTTATCAGTGATTAATGGCTCTAGAATTATTGCTCTCACTCTGACATTTGCGGCGATATGTAACATGTGTGGCACAATAGGCGCAATCGTCGTTTTCGCACGTAGGCGCACCCGACGCATATCTACGTGTGTATGTGGGGGGCGGGGACTTAAATGGAAAACTTTGATTTCTCTGATTTTTAGTTTGGCCGAAAAAAGAAAAAATACAGAAGAACGTCATCCAGCGGTAAAGCAGTCCTTAAAGGTGATGAGAAGGAGTCTGGAGGTGAGGAAGAGGAGGGGGATGAAGAGGATGAGGAAGAAGATGCAGATCTGTCAAAATATAAACTGGATGATGTAAGTTGCTATTCACAAACTGTTTCTGAACAGGAAATCCATTAAAGCGGACCTTTTACACTCAAATCAAATTCTACCAATCCATCCCTCTATGTATGATGATTAATAACATGGACGTGTCAGGTGTAAAATGATGATTGTGAAATATTTACACTTGCAGAGCATTCACTTCCTGCTTAGAAAGTGCAGGAAGTGAATGCTCTAGTCACATGTGCCAGAAATACAGGAAGTAATAGGAGAGCTAGTAATCGGCCCTTAGTAAACATGGCCACTGTCAGAATTATCTTGAATTATGTGTGTGTAGATTGTCATTACTAAACATTTCTAAAGGTGTGTTTGCTGTTATTTTAAAGATATGGGTAAAGGTCCGCTTTAAGAAGATCAAGAAGTTATGATCAGGATATCGGCAATATAGTAGTTTCAAATGTTAATTAGAAGTAGGCCTTCTTGACTCTGAGACCACATTTTTCTGTGTGGTAAAGCTGAATTTACTCGGCTTCACTGCCAATTGCATTGTTTCTAGTAGACTAATATACATCATAGAATTTGAAGTGGCCACAAATTCAGGGTGATCGGAGCTACTTATACCACTGGCCTGATTTTCTGTCAGGATCCCCTTTAAAGTGAAATGCCATTAAAGGAGAACTATGAGGTGAGTGAAAATCACTCAGCCTCATAGTTCGGGCTGACGTGTGACTATGAAACTGTCTCACGTCGGCTCAATAGATCGAGAAGTGAGCGAACACATACCATTGCTCGCTCACTTCTTGATCCTGTCCCAGCAGAGAGCCGTGACTGCCACTCACGGCTCCCTGCAGGGATTCCCCCGCTCCGATCCTCCAGCGCGGACTGGGGAGGGGGTGGGTACAGCTGGTTTTGCCTCTAGATAGGCAGAGCCAGCTTGTTTATCATCTAGAGATGATAAACAAACAGTGTATATTATGTATAGACACATAATATACATAACCCACTGAAAGTGTTCTACCTAACTTTCTGTAATTCTAAAGTCTCACTGGAGTCCATTAAGAGTGTATGGAGTCCACTCATTAGTATTCTGTTTCCCTTCTGTGCAACAGATTTATGTAATGGTCGGTAAGGTGTATATGAAGCTACAACCTGAGTAGAAAAGCCTGTCCCCTGCCAGCAGCTGCAGATTGGGACCCCTGATCTCTGTGTGGGAGCTGGGGTTGTTATGCCCCCTACTCAGTCAGACTTGTTGCTCTGCAATCAGCAAAGCATATACTCCCTGTTCATTGGAGAGCTCTGGATCTGACTCGGTAGGGAATGTGTTGAAGCTTTGCCGAGGGACCACTGCTTCCACAGAGAGCTTGCAAGGGTCCCACTCCTTTTTTTTTTTCTACTCAGGCTGTGGCTGATTTTTAAAGTAAATTAACTTTAAAGGTGGCCATAAACTCTACAACCATCGCAAGACTTTAGTCTTGCGATGGTTGTAAAGGGATTAAAAAAACGTACAATCTGCCTATCTTGGACAGGCAGATCGCACTCTCGATCATCGCAAGCCCGCCCCCCTGAGGGGCGGGCTTCCGATGACCGCAATGCTGCGCACACCGGCCCGTTCGGCATTTGTCTTCCGAGCACCGTTCTAACCAGCCGAGAATCGTACGATTCCCGGCTGGTTTTCGAACATGCTGGTTCGACAGAAGACATGCGACCGTACAGTAGAAACACCGATCGCATACGATTATCGTACGATAATCGTGCAGTGTATGGGCACCTTAAGACTTTGAACACTTTTTTGATTTGTTCCGCCTGGGATGTTTTTGGGCTAATTTAAACAGGAAATTCAACTTTTACGACTCCTCAGTGTGTTATAACTTCGGTATGAATCCAAAATTACGTTTGGGATCCCTATGACCTGGTTCGCACTGAGTGTATTGTCGCAGCTGATTCAGCACGACAAAAAGCTTCCCCAAAAAAATCCCATTCATTCTTATGGCTCCTGTTCACACCTCATCGATTTGTCGCAACATGCAAAAGGCCTGTCGCTGGAAAAAGGACATGAGCTTTGTCTTTGCAGATTACAACTCGTTTTGTCCCCATAGTCAATAGAAAATGCTTGGAAACTTTTTTTTTTTTTTGCAATTTACATAAATGTGTCACAATCTGCTCATAAAAGTGCATGACTTAATGTACGCTGTGGCCTAGGTGTGACTCAGGCCTTATGCACATGCAGGTTTCTGCTTTCTTACCTGCTGCGATCATCTGCTCTTCAAACGGAACGCAGACACATGGGGGGAATTAAAAGAAAATACGCCCGTTTTGTGGAACAAATATTGGTGCATTTTCTGTGGCTTGTTCCAGTTCCCTCATTGTACATGGGGCGGATATTTCCCTGACTAACATTTGTATTCGGTAGCACATGATGGATTTAGATATCTCATTTATTTTATTTTTTTATTCAGTTTAGGCTTTAGTAGTACATAAGTTTTAATAGCCGTGGAATATTATTTAATCCAGTAATTTGTATCTTTGGTGCTTTATTAACGCTAAGAATGTATCCCTTCTTCTAGGATGAAGATGATGAGGATGCTGGCGACCTTTCAAAATATAACCTTGCCAGTGACGAGGAAGAGAATAGTAAAAATAAGAAGCCCATCCCCAGCAGACCTAAATCTCGTTCGTCCCATTCCTCCTCCCATTCAAGCTCAAGGTCTAGGTCCAGGTAAACGGGTACAGGTCAAGGGTAAAGCCGGGCAAAATGTCAGTATCTAAACTTTCTTACTTTTTACATAATATTCTAGACACTTCAACTGCCATGCAATGTGCATTTAGAGTTTTATTGCTTTCTCTTCCCAATTTTTTTTTTTTATGGTGTAGATATATTTTGATATGCTTTGTAATGTTAGCTATTCGAATCCTAACACATTTACTTTAACCTCTTGCCGTCCGCTCGTAGTAAAAAAACGGACGGACGGCACTGCAGCATCTGCGGGTTGCCGTCTCCAGACGGCAATTTTTTTCTGCTTAGCTGTTAGATGTTTTCCATTTTTAGTTTGGTTGCCTTCATAGATATACAGTATATACATATAGATAGTTTCACAGGATAAATGGTACATGGATCACCAAATACACAGATGTTTTCTAGTTAAGGTCTAGGTACATGTTTTGCCCCTAGTTTCCTTTTTTGTCCTGACCTTACCTAAAGCTGGCCATACACCTATAGATGATCTGCAGATTTTCTATGGTCAGATAAAAAGTGCAACAGATTCCTCAATCTACGCTAAACTGTGTGTATGGAGGAATCTCCCACTGGGCCAAGTTTCAGTCTCTTGCTAGTCGGCCCCGCTGGCTCTCAAAATACCTGAACAATGGCTGCATCCAATCAGATTGTTCAGATATTTTGAGAGCCTCCAGTGGGGTTGACTAGCAAGAGACTGAAGCTTGGCCCAGTGGGAGATTCCTCCATCCACACAATGTAGTGTAGATGGAGGTTCTCACACACCCAAGACGGACAACCTGGTCCGCATGTATTTGAAGCCGCTCACTCGCTAAGCTTGCCCACCATTCCTTGGATCTCCCCCAATCAGCCCACCTGGCACGTGCTATGCCCTTGGACTCTGTCCTCACAACTTTCTAGATGGAGGAATCTGTTGCACGTTTTATCTGACCATAGAAAATCTGCAGAGTGATATAGCTGTGTGGCCAGCTTTACACGCCCTCCCCCTCCACAGATGCATGCTTGACTCAATTCAACGGCTGCAGCCTCTGGTTGGTTACATTCATTGCAGCAAATCTCAATCTCCTGGCCACAATTGCATATTACAGTTTAATGGATTTCATCTCCAGCCTCTGGACACAGCTCCATCGAAGTCTGTGGACCTGGAGAGTGAGGCGTGCCCCGTTCAATGTAAACATAGACCTTATCAAAGTATGCATCTGTGAAGGGTGGGTTAGGTTAGGGCAAAGGAGCAAAAGAGATCAGAGCACTTTTTGTTTTTAGTACACTTATCCTTTAAATATATAAAATTATTATAAGCAAGGGAAAACTCCAAATCATGTGTTAGCTCTTCAGAGAGTGCCTTTTACGTTGGCTGTGGGGTAGATGAGGTGGAGTTGACTACTAATAAGCAATCTTTTCAAATCACAAAATACCATGTACAGTATGCACAGCCTTCCCTTGTCCCATTAGGTATTACATCTTACTGGAAAACCACGTTATATATGAAACTTTCCTTTTTTGTTTGAGCATTCTGCTGAGCAAGTTCTTAGATAAAATGCTCAATGTTATTTAGTTATGCAGTGCTGGAGTAACTAAATACTGGCCTTGTGTAATGTACCCAGATGGCTTCCCTCTTAAAATGTAGCTAGGTCTCCAATCCCCCAAAACTGCTTTACTAACCAGTCTGGACATAATTATTTTATATTTTTATATAGATTCGGTTTAAAATGCTGAGTGCTTTTAAAGTTCCTATGCTTATTCAATAAGGCAATGCAGAATTCAGAGGTGACTTGCAAAGTGCATTAAACAAATAGAATCCTCTATATCCACTAAAATGAAACATAATTGGTTGTCGTGTGTTGCTTCGTCTTTGATATGTACTGCCCTATGAAATAAGCATGACATTCTTCATGAGGTGTGTGTATATTAAAAAAAAAAAAAAAGTTTGAATCTGTGGTGTGACTGTTCTAAAGAGAACTTTTGTTAAATATGAACTCTTTGCTGTGTGCTGTCTGTACATTTGGCTGCAGGCACATGTATGAAGTATTGATCACCAGAGCTGGACAAAACTGCACCATGTTGTTTCAGGTCTCGCTCAAGGAGTTCTTCCAGTTCCAGATCAAGATCACGCTCCACTTCAAGAGACCACTCTCGACCTCGCGGTTCCAAATCAAGGTGAATGAGGGTTGCCAGGCTCTCTGTCACAGTGACAGAAAAGTGCTTCAGCGCCGTGTGATGCAGAACGGATTTATTTTTTTTCGTTTTTACGTGATTTGTTCTGTTGAACTGTTATTTTGAAGTTGTTTCATGAAGAACCTAAGTGCAGTGTTTTTTCCAAATGTCAAAGATTTCTTTTCCACCATCGCAACTTTTGTCATGTTTAAGTTACCCCTGTAATTGCTCATAATTCAAGATGGAGACTTGGTAAACCACTAGCACCACTTCCACCGCAGTGACCGTTTATCAGTAGTACCTTGATATACTGCAGTACTCTTGTACTACTCCAACTAACCCAGCAGCTAATAAAAACACTGGTGCCGTGAGACTTCCTTACACAGACTTGCTGACAGTCATTAGACGCTGTGTGCATGTCTCTGTTTATCTCTATGGAGGGTCCCACTGGAAACGACAGATTATAGCGCAGAAACTTAATCTTGTCCCATCGCACTCCTGACCAGACAAAACCCAAATCCAACTGGGTGGGTGCAGTGATGCCTCCGTGAAATGTATATAGATAAAAGTAGTCACTCGCACTCCATGATATTAAAGTCAATGCTGTTTATTGACTGAGATAACACGCATCTCCTTAGCAACGTTTCGAGATCGTGCGGCCGCTTCCTCAGGCAAACAGAGTGAGTTTGCCTGAGGAAGCGGCCACACGGTCTCGAAACGTCGCTAAGGAGATGCGTGTTATCTCAGTCAATAAACAGCATTGACTTTAATATCATGGAGTGCGAGTGACTTCTTTTATCTATCCAGATTATAGCGCAGGCCTGCTGTCATTCTCCGTGTCCTGCAAGAGCCTTGTTTCAGGTGACCTCTATTTAAAGCCACCAGAGGAGTGAGGCCAAAGGTCATAGGTCTAAGGATAGTCTTAAGGTGCCCATACACTGGCCTAATATTGTCTGGTTTTTAATGTACCAGCCAAAATTTGCTCAGTTGTTGGCTCCCTTTCAGCCGGCATTCCTCGATCAGCTGATCGAAGGAGCCGGCAGCCAATGAGCTGTCCGCTCGCATTGGGTATTCTGACAGGTGCTCGTGGCACCTGTCAGAATACAATGCAAACAGCAATTCCTCGATCAACACACTGTTTGTGTTTGGAGGAATCGCGTCAATTTTTTTTTCCGTTCAGCCCGTGGGTTAAACAAAAAAACTTGATAGGTGTATGGCCGCTGACGAAAACCAGTAGTTGAACTTAGATTGAGCACAATCTTCCGGAGAGTGATGAATGCCTGGAAGTACACCATTAGTTTGTGTATACCTGACTAATATAGGGGCAAAGGGGTTTCTTCTCAGATCAGTCAGGGTCTGGAACTCGCTGCCACATGCTGTGATTTTGGCTGAGTGTGAAATCATTCAAGAGGCGATTGGACGATTACCTCGGGGATCGTAATATACAGGGGTACAAGTACTTTTAAGAATGGGAACACACGGGGACCTATACATGCGCACACATCTGTAGGACCATACAGAAACACACAACAGGTTGGACTTGATGGACTAAATGTCTTCAACCTCAAATACTATGTAACCAGCGAATAGTGCTGTTAATACTACAGCATACAAAGACATTTTAGACCAGGTGTCTCAAACCTCCAGCTGTGGTGAAACTACAAATCCCATGATGCATCTCTCTTCAGGAGTCGTGGCTGTGAGAATCTCGCAATGCCTCTTGGGATTTGTACCTCCACCACAGCTGGAGGGCCGGAGGTTTGAGACCCCTGTTTTTAGAATATTGTGCGCTTCCAACCTTGTGGCTACAGTTTAGAGAAGGCTCTTTTCTGTTCCAGCACGTCTTTCCCCCTGCACACAAAACCAGCTTCATAAGGATATGGTTTGATGAATTTGGTATGGAGGAACCAAGTGGCCTTCACAGAGCCCTGACCTCAACCCTTCCAAACCCCTTTGGGAAGAATTAGAGAGCTGATTACCAGCCAGGTCTTGTCCAACTTTAGTATCTGACCTCTCACTCTCCAAAATCTTGTGGAAAGCCTTCCTAGAAGAGTGGAGATGACTTGGCCGCAAAGAGGGACCAACTCCATATTGAGGGGCCCAGCATTCGCACTGTGGTGTAAGCCTTGTCTACGTAGGGCATGAGGGGAAAAGAAGGATTTGTTTAGTTGCTATAGGCAGAGATGAGCTGCCTTTTTACGGTGTTTGATCTGGTCAAATTTAAGGACCTCTAATACTAAGAGCCCTGACCCGTACCTTTTAAAGAAGGAAGATCTCTGATTAACTGTAGTACAAATAACAGGCCTGGGTTTTAATGGCTTCACACACTTCTTTATTCCGCTTTCATGATTTCATGTTTATACTCCAGATTAGTATTTGTTATGTTATATCAGCTTTTGTTTTCTATTACCATATTAAATTATCTTCATTTTTAATAAAGATCCAGCTCCAGGTCGCACCGGGGTTCTTCTTCCCCGAGAAAAAGATCATATGCCAGTTCCCAGTCCTCGTCTTCTTCAGGGAGGGGCAAGAAAAGGAGCCGCTCCAGATCCTCATCCACTGAGCGCAAAAAAAGGAGAACAAGATCACGGTCAACCGAAAGGTTTGGGTTACTGTAGAATTAGAAGGGGAATTGATATGAACTTTGGGAAAATGCCACATGTTTTCTTTGTGTTCTTCCTCGATCCGAGTCCTGGATTTTGTATTTATTTAACATTTTACAACTAACATTTGCAACTCTTTGTCATGGATTGGGGAGGGTACAGGGAAGAGGGAGGTCGGATAATGGACGAGGTATTGTCATCATTTAGAAGATATGAATAAGAAGGTTTGTTAGTGCACTGTTACCTCTGCATCAAGTGTTCACAAAATAGTACATGTATTCGGCATGTGTAATGGCAACTTAGGCGTGCTGTTGTAATGTCAACATAGGCGTGCTGTTGAAACCTACACACATTTTCACACACCTCAAAGTGTGGATTGACCAGTCGAAACCAGTGTTGCTTTCAGAGCTCAATTTGGGTAGTTTGGTGTATGACACAGAAATAATTAAAAAATTGAGTTGCTCCTAATTCCATTGTGCATGATTCTCTCTCTCTCTCTCTCTCTCTCTCTCTCTCTCTTTCTCTCTCTCTCTCTTTCTCTCTCTCTCTCTTTCTCTCTCTCTCTTTCTCTCTCTCTTTCTCTCTCCCCCTCCCTCTCTCTCTCTCTATCTTCTCTTTTATAGATACAGGTGTACGAATTGGGTGTCCAGCATCCTTTATCAGTATCTGGGAGTCCTAATAAGAAAGAAGAAATTTTGGAATGCTTTAGCGTATGTCTGGTCAAAGGGGGGGGAAAAATGTACAGCATATGCAATACATGCACATTTCCCATACTTTGTCTCTTCCAAAATGCTGCAAGTACAAAAAAAATAACACAATCTGCCTAAACTATAGTGAGGTGATGATAACTCGGCCTTTGATACACTGAAATTCCAAGCAGTGTTGTCATCCCAGTTCTCTTCTGCTGGAGTACAGAATGCATCCCCTCTCATCTCCATATAAAGGTGGTGTTCTGTATTGCAGCAAGGGTTGATTAGAGATTTCAGATCAGCAGACACCGTAGACAGGAAGTTAGTAGCTCTCTGGATTTCTAGCAGATCAACAGGTATATTTCTGTACTTGCTGCAAGAGACCAAATACGTGCAAAATGTGCATGTATTGCAGAGGTGTACTGCATATGTCTGGGGTCTTCTTTTGTCCAGAGGAGCTTAACATACATCCTGTTGTCTGTTTCTATCTGTTATTAGGAGTTAAATAGTTAAGTTGTGTAGCTGCGCAGCTGACACAGACCCCAAATACTTCAGTAACTCACTAGCTTGTAGTGAATGGACAGACAGCTTAGCAATGTTTCTGTATAAATACAGAGAATCAGCTTTACAGAACCTGTAGAAGAAAATCTGGTTGCCAACATCAACCAGATTTGTTTTTAAGATTGTAACAGAAAAGTTTCTGACCAGTCCCTAATCCCTCTCCCCCAACCCATGAACATACATAAATAAATTGTGTCTGA